ACAAGCTCTCTGCGAGTCACTAAAGCTGCCCTCACCACTTACTGCATCTATGCCCATCACACACGCTCAGCACAACTGTAAACCCATAAGCCTGTTGGCTTGGACCGAGGGGATCATAAACTGCAAAGCACTTCCAAGTTTAGACAAAAGAGATTATCATTTCTAAACCACATAAGCAGAAAGAGGTAGACTGTCTCAGTTCTTAGGGTCAAATAACTTCCAGTGCCAAGATTTACACAGCCCATTACCAACGAGATGGGCAGATGCAAAGTACTTCCTCGTGACCCATCACACAACCTTCACTAGAGCATCACTGTTATATTTACAAAGTTCATAAGCATTATATTAGTGAATTATGGCTTCAGGCCACTTTCTCTAGATTGCTTGTCACCTGGAGGGATGAGTATTTGATTTTCAAGCTCCAGAGGTAGCCCTTACCTTCCAGCACAGCAACCTGTTGGGGATTTATGGGCACTTCATGGGTATTTAATGAAGCTTACAATGTAAGCAATCTAAACAGCTCTTATTCACAGACTCCTGAAGCACATCCAGTAAAGCTGATGGAGCCTCGGACACCTTGAGAGAAATACTGAGTGAATCAAAATAATCAGCCCGCCCTTTCCCTCTGTCGCAGCTTTGGTGGTGAATACAAGGCACACAAATACACAAAATAAACAGCCCCTGTTTTCTTTCTTTTTCCTCAGTCTCACAGTGCATTCAAGCCGGGCGGTCAAGACTCACTGATAGATATCTGTAAGTTTTTAAACATATAGATCAACTTTATTCTCTTTCCATTTTTTATCTAAAAACCTGGTTTTCAAGAAAAACCAGTGAAGTGTAATGAAGACATAAAAGCAACATTTTAAGATGCTATTGAACAGTATTATCTAATGACATTATGAAAGGCAAAGGTCTCACTCTTGCAAGGTATTTAAGTGCCTAAATGTCTTTGCGTAGCTGGACCTCCCAAAAATGGTTTATATTTGCAAAAGTAGCTATTAGGGTATTGTAATTTAATAAATCGCATTTCAAGGTCAGGTAAGTTAGAGTTATCATACGTGGAGCCTTGAATCTGATGTGTTTGCCATCTGGCACCTAACAGACATAACATTCTCAAACATTTTGGACAGGGTTTTTCTGAAATTAATAATTAGAATGAAACATTTATCTAGTTTCTTCAGGAAGTTCTCTACTTTTAAAAACCAGATACCCACAAGCTCCTACAAAAGGAAACGAGGCATAAAAGAAAGAAACATTACAGCTGAGATGAGCAGTGGCTTTCTCTCTTTCAAGGATCCATGCTGTTACAGGTGCTTGTTCAGATAGACTCTACGTTTAATATAAACCTTCATGAGGTAAAGATTAATTTCATTTTCACAAATGTTCGTGTGTATAGCACATGCCTCGGCAAACTTTTGCAATCAAAACCTGAATATTTTGGAGTCTAACTCTCCCTTCACAGCAGGAGCAGCTCCACTGTGTCACAGATCTTTTTCAAGCTTAAATCTACACGTGCAATTGATCTACAAAGCCTCTTTTGTATATCAAACAACTTTTTCGAGCTGTAAATGCTTGAAGAGTGCTGCTGCTGATTGCTATACCCTTCTTACCCTACCCTTTGCTGTTGGTGAAGCTGGGATCAGGCTAAGGGACAAGTACTCTGGAAAGAGGCAGGAGGCATCAGACTCACTGGAGGAAGAAGTGTTTTGTACTTCTGCTTCTTCCTGAAC